TAAAATGATACAACCCTGGGAAGTATAATTCTTAAAAGTATTCACTTTAGAAGCAGATAGCCTGAGTTAGAATCCATGTTCTGCCTCTTGCACATACAATAAACTTAAGCAAGTTCCTTAACCTCTTAAGACCTCATTTGTAAAAAGATGACACTAGTATTGCACAGAGTTTGAATTTAAAAAGTTTAGACATGCAAAGCACAAAGAACAGTGCCTGGCGCATACATGATAAGCATTCAGTAAGAGTTAGCTATTTCTACCTCTGGACATTGATTAGATAATATATATCTACTTATATAAAGCTCAACAATTCCATAACCATTGATAGGTTCAAATGCATAAGCCCAAATAGCCAAAGTTGCACTCTATATCAGCGAAAACATGGACTCCCTAGAATCAATCAAAAGCCTGGCAGTCCCTAGAATCAATCAAAAGCCTGGCAGTAGGGAAACGGTTAAGCAAATTTGAGAACTGTAAAGTACCACAGTCACTAGAAATCAGGTTTTCAAAACCATTTAACACAAAAATACCGGTACTGTAAGAAGCTATTTCTAAAATGACAATACATAAAATGATACAGGCTCAATTTTGCTAATTATTCATACATGCGTATGAAAGGTTAAAAAGAAATACATCAAAATGCTAATATTATTTATTTCCACATGGTAAGATTACAAGTGATTTTATTTATAAAAAGTATTTATCAAATTTTATACCATGACTGTATCACTTTTATAATTAGAAAAGCTACTAAAATAGACTCTTCGTTTTGACAGGCTGTGATTGAACAGTCTTCACCATACACTGATACTAATTGCAATTCATATTTTAACTCAGTGTTACTAGTAACACCTTTACTTTTTGGTTGACTTCTAAATGAGCAAACAAAACCTATTTTAAAAGCTGCATTATTTAAAACTATAAACTATTCAGTAGCTTCAAAACTACTAAAGATCCTTCTTATAATCTTGAATGAAAGTAATTACCTCTAAGATCTCCCAGTTTTTAATACCAAGAGAAGACACATTACTATTCCAATTCATAATTATGTATTCTTCCTAAACTGGACAAATGCTGTTACTACTTACTACATTTAGTGAATGCTCAATAAACAAATGAATGAAGCTTTCACTATTTGATTGAACCAACTTTGTAATTAGTATACTATGAGAGGCCAAATTTTCACATTATAGCCTATATTTCAAAATAGTTTCAAATTCAATGCCTTAGTAATCATTTTATAAGCTCTCCTAAACTGCCAAGACACTGCAAAATAAACACTTTACTATTAAGTTTCATGCTTTTACTTTTTAACTTCTAAAGCCAAAGAGGTCCTATCATTTATATATACAGCTGGCTGTCCCAAAACTATTAAACAGAAAGAATCAGTAAAGTGTGAGCAACACTTTCATGAATCTGTTACACCTTACTCCATGATTTGAAAGAAAATAACAGAGAATAAAAAACAAATTTATAGTTAATTCACTGCTCTGTGATTTGTAAGACTCCTGTACAGGTAGTTTCTAAGCAACAATTACCTTCCCTAAAAAAAAAAGAGAAACCTGTATGAGACCAAAGCTTTTTTCCCCAATCTGGTAAATGTTACTGTAGCTAAAAGAAAACAAAAACCATAAACTGTCCCTATTTGTCCTTAGCTCTTCGTGCTCTTAAGTACATCATAAATGATCTTAAAATTCATCTCTTCAGTTATTCTGTGAGCTCTAACCATCAATAATCTGTGTATCATTCCACGTCCATGCTATACAGGTAGAGCTCATGAAGAATTATGGAGTGAACATCACATCTAAGGAGTCTTTCTTACACCTAATAACTGAAGTTACTTCCTGGTCCCCAACATGGAAGACTTAAGGGGCCACATCATAGTCTAAGAGACAGTCGCTTTCATATAACATGTCTCCTAAATTCTAAGGCGAAGCCAAGGAAAACAAATAGGAAAGGAGATTTCATTCAGATATTACCCCTGGATTCTAATCAAGGTCGTAAAGCCCATGAGGAAACCCTGAACAGTACAAATAGTGAGGAATGACTTTTCAGTGAAAAGAACAAATACTTTATCTGACAGCAATTAATTCCACAAAGTGGAATAAAAGCTCAAGTTAAGACAAATGAGATATTCTATGCCATGCAAGAAAGCCTACAAACTGGAACAAATGTCTCCTCTCCCAATAGTTTATAAGTACAGAAACTTTCTGTTTTCAATCTTAAATCAATCTCTCTAGGTTTACTAAAAATGTACTAATGTATTTACTGTGCATTAAACTGTATTACAGTGCAACTATTACTCTTCTGAACAATGGTGAGGGTGTACTAAGAATATATTCAAAAAACACTAACAAGAACCTGACTTTACTAATGGGACTACATCTGGAGAAGCCTCGCACATCTATAAAACATTCTGTAAATTCACTTAACACTATTTTTGCATTGAAAATAAAACAATCCCAAATCACATTTTCATTCATTTTACATATTAATGTTGTAAAATAAAATCTGAAATGAGCGCTTGAAACTTTTGGTTAAACTACAATTTCTCATAAATTACAGTAACTACATATCCAAATGGTATATGTAAAATTCAAGAATTGTTAAGCATGCATATAAGTATAACAATAAGTATTTTTTATGATTATACATTTACAACTTCTGATTAGCAACCCATGCACACCGTACAGGAATGCTAACCTGAAAGGAATTTTGAAGGTGTATAAGTCAGTGAAAAATATCACTGAGACATACACCCTTGATGATGCTTCAAACTGGCTTAAAAATTTATATAGGAAAAGATACAGTGATTATTTTCAATAAGAACTGTATGTGAATGACAATACTTATGAAACAGTAATGAAAAATCCTTATGCTTTTGAAAATTAGCAGCTATTAACCACTGAATACCAAACACTACTTACTTACAGACTTCATTAAGAATTTTAGAAAAACTTTCGGAGCAACAAGTTACAGTCAGAAAGGATCCAAATCATAGGACTCAAAACCATAGGGCAATTTAAAAAAAGAAAATTCAGTTCCAGAACTATGTGCTAACCCATCACACAGCATTAGAGTCTTTAGCTAAAGGAATAAAGAAATTCACTCCTGCTTCTTACCCCCAAAAACGCCAGTTTCAGAAAGAAGAGATCTTGTTCTTTCAAGCTATACTGATAAATCCCAAACCCACAGGAACACAGTATTTAGTATTTCTTGAACCAAGGAAGGGATAGGAGAGGAAAACAGGTAAGAGCAGGCATGCCTAAAAAGATCAAGGAGATGATCACAAAGACAGAACCGGTTACTCTGAATAATATTTACAGTTGATGTCAAGTGTGAGCTACTTCAAATTTTAGCAAAAAAGGAAAAACAAGACTAAAAAATGAGCAGTAAAAAACAACAAACGTTTCCTAGAAAACCTAGTATGTGACACAAGTTTTTTAAAATAATTCTCAATTCTGCTAAAAAAAAAAAAAAGGTAAGATTTGACTGTCAATAGGATGGTTGACTTTCTAGGGAAATTAACATTACTCACAAATTCATAAATCCAACTCTTTGCACAATTGTAAAGGAAAATATGCCAATGCGTTTCACTGGGGCTGTTCTGCCAACATCTCTCCTTCTAATGTAGTTTCCCACATTTAATTACCAAAATATTTCAAACATTCGAACCCCCGTTAATTAGAATCTAAACACTTGATTCTCCGGAGTATACTCTATTTACATGAAGTCAGGTTTCCACACAGACGTTAAAATTTTCCTTGCAATTTCAGAATTCTGCATTAGATGCAGTCTTCTAAATTTTAAGAATTCGGAGAGATCCTTAAGTCCTCTAGGGCCAAGTTACTTACTCAGCTAGGACAATCATTAAGATCAGTCTTTCCTTCCTCCCTGCAAACTGCACTTCAGAAAAAAGCATGCTTGAAAAGTGAACACAAATTCCCCTTCCCTCCCATGAGACACAACGTGCTGTTAAGTGTAAGAAGGGAGAAGGAAAATTTTCCTTCAGTTTTACTTTTAAAACTGCTCAACTGCCAGTTTGTCTACCCTGAGTTATTATACCTGTTACTGTAGCGACATGAGCCAGTACGTCCAGTTTGTTACAACAGTACCTTTTAACTGCTCGCCATTGGCTATCTGAATCAGGAATGACATCTAAAGTTCTACCCTATATACTAAACACCGTAAGTGTATGACTCAACGCGGTGCCAAAAAGAAAATGTCCTGAGCAGAATACGCTTGCTGTCGCTACAACTGCGTGGCGACTTCTCATTCTTGCGGGCTTCTAAAGGCCAAGAAACGGAAAACCGACTGTCCGACTTGTCCGTCTTGCACACCCCTGGCCCTGCTCCGGGTGGCGAGGCAATTCCTCAACAAGAGTTTGTAAAGTGCTAAGGAAGCTTGCGGGGTGCAAGACGCTAAATGGGCTCGAGGTTGTGGGTGCATCGCCACGGAGCATTTGGAGAAGCCACTGTCACTAAGCCGGGGACAGGTTCGTGACCAAACCCTCGGTAAGCAGGGAGAGATGGAGGACAGTCCTCTCCATCACCGTACAAGCTACGCTGGTCGCTCTGCTAAACCGCAGCCACAGCACACGCGGAAAGTTACGCACACGCCCCACTCGGGGAGGACTTCGGGGCCGGCTCCATCCTTGCAGGGCCCGAGTCCCGGGCAGGGGCCGAGCGAAAAGGAGTGCGGGGACCGGGCCTACAGCCCTCCACCGTGGGGAGGGAGGTGCCGGGGCCGCGCGGGGGCCGGGCCGCTGCCGCCCGGACGAGAGGCTCGCGGGGGGCCCGGGCGCGGGGAACGGCCCGGGAGGGCGGCCGCGCCGGGCCCGCGCCACCCCGTTGCCAGGAAGGCTCGCGCCCCGCGGCCGGCGGGCGTGGGGGAGGGGAGGCCGGCCTGCGGCCTGTGGGGGGGAGTTCAGCCCGGGCCTCGCGTGCGGCTGTGGGCCGGGTCCCCGGCCCCGGGGTCCCGGGCGCCGAAGAGAGACTCACCGGAAAGGCCCGGATCCGCATCTTGGTGTCCTTCCGGCTGCCCGTGCCTTTGCTCAGATTCGACATGGTGCTCGTCCCCTCCCCGGCGGCGGCTTCGGGTCGCACTCCGAGGCGCCGGTGTCACATTTAAGGCGAACGGGCAGGCGAGGGGCGACGCTGGGGGCGGCGGTGGCGGCGCGGCCCCCGGGCTGGGCTGGGGAGCGGGCCGGGCCCTGGGCGGCCGCGGCGGCGGCGGCTCGGGCTCGGCTGGGGGCTGCGCTGGCGCGGCGGCTCCGCGGGGTCCCCCTTACGCCCAGCTCTGCTCCCTTTATCGCGCTCCTCCGCGATGGCGGCGGCGGCGGCGACGGACAAACATCTCACTGCGCAGGCCGAACGTCCTCCTCCTCCTCCTTCTCCTCCTCCGCCTCAGCGAGACAAGATCCGGCCCAGAGGGTGGAGGGGGGAGGAGGGAGGGAGGAGAGTCGGAGAGTGGAGAGATTGGGGGGAGGGGGGTGGGAGGACGGGAGGGAAGGCGGGCGGCCGCGGCGGGGACGCTCAGATCTCGCGAGAAAAGGACGAGCGCGCTGTCCCCGGGCAGGGCGGGGCGAAACCCGGGAGCGGGAGGGCGCAACAAGAGGGGAGGAGGGGAAAAGGGAGCTGGGGAGGGGGCGGGGCCACAGGGGCGGGGAGAGGAGAAGAGGGCGGGGCTGAGAGCGGGAGAAGTAAGAGGCCTTTTTGAGAGAGGAGCGTCGGAGACCCGGTTCTGGGCAGAGAGGGTTGCTGATTGGTGGGGGGGAGGGGAAAATCATGGTCACGTGGACAGTGGGCGGGGGAAGTTCCGGTGGCCAAGCAGGACTGTAGTAGGCTGGTACTGGCTGGGCTAGGGTCCAGAGCAGGATAGTCTTGGGGAATGAGCGTGGGGTGCGGGATGGAGAGCTACGTCCTAAAACTGGTTCCTGTGTTTTTCTAGGGCATGTGGAGTAGGGATGGGTACTTGAGCGGAAGCCAGAAACTTGAGAGAAGAGTTTGTGAAGGAGTTACCTGCAGTGTCGGAAATGAGTGTACTGTACGCTTAACAAGGTACTACACAGCTCAGCTCTCAGCACTGGGGTGGAGGTGTCATTCTGCAAAGCTTCCTTCAGGTGCAGAAGCTCCAGGACGTCTTGATTCACTGATACTTTCTGGGAGACCCAAGGGTCCCTAAGGTTAAAACACGGTTTTTGTTTTCATTGAAAGAAAATGACACCTCCCTTAATGTTTGGTAAATGGTGTCAAATGGAATGATAACAGACCCATTTTTAACCTACCAAACAAATCGCTTTTACCATTATCAAAATCACTGTACATCTTTAAAGCCGAAATTACTGTCTGATTCACTTTGTTGTGTATCTGGAAGAACTTTTTTGTTGTTTTGGTAGTTGTCATCTTTTAATCAAAATGTCCATTTTGACCCAGTTTTGCTTTCTGATTTACCTTCTTGCTTAACTGCTGTTGTAGTTTCATTTGCAAACACTGCAGGGAAATACATGAGTTCCTACTAAAGTTGCTGATCTTCCCATTTTGATGATTTTTGGTGCTTGGGATTGAATTCAGAGCCTCAAGCTTGCTAGGCCAGCCCTCTACCACTTCAGCCATGCCCCCAGCCCCTGATTTTCTCATTTTGAATAAGCTGTGGGGATGGATATCTACACTTAAGATGAGATTTTAATACTTTTTGAAATAAAAGCCTTACTAAGTAAATTGAAATATACCTGTTTATTTATTCTTACCTTTTTGCGGTACTGGGATTTGAACTCAAGGCTTCATGCTTGCTTTCTGTGAAAGGTTTTTCGAGATAGGGTCTTGAGAACTATTTGCCTAGGCTGGCCTGAACTGCAGTCCTCCAGATCTCTGCCTCCTAAGTAGCTAGGCATACAGGCATGAACCACCCCCGCTGGCTACCTGTTTATTTATTGACTGTAAGGTTGAATTTGCCCTCAATTAATTTATTCCTAATATCTAAACTTGTCAGTGATGTTCTTTCAGTCTCTACTTGGCTAATATGCTCCCTTGAAAATGTGTTGTTTGGGGGGTCTTTTGGTGTTTACTAATCAAAACAGAAGCTTAAAGGAGAATGTTACTTAAAGCAATGTCTGTGTAAATACTAAAGCTAAAAATAGGTCATCAGGAATGGGTTGATAAGAAAATGGGAAGGGCTCTGATTTCAAAAGAATATGAGTCTGATAGTAGTTTATAATCTGTATCTAGTTCAACTTCTATTTCCGTAGTCACTAGAATATAATAAAAGTGCTTTTTTTCTATTGGCTGTCTTGTCATAGGGCCCAATTTCTTTGTAATATAAGAACATATGCTCTAGAGCCATTAATGTGAACTTCAGTTCCGCCATTTACTAGCTATGTTATGTGACTTTTGGGGTAAACTTGGCTGTGTCTGGAGCTCCTCATTTGTAAAACAGAGACAATAAGAAAACTTCCTCCTTGGGTAAAGACATTTTAAAGCCAGAGAACACAGAGCAGCCACTCAACACCTGTTGGCATCTTGGGCATTAAGGCCAACATTATACCATCTTCCTTTATTTAATATGTAGGTTTCTAAAAGAAATAGTTACATGTTCTTATAAAATGGATCATATGTTAAAACAAAGCCAGTCTCCAGCTTGGATTTCACAAATCAAGAAAATATTTTTCAGAAAGCTGGAGAATCAATATAAAATTGGCAATTTTATTTTGGCAAGTAAGCGCATTAAAAAGGAACAAACTTAATAGACTATCCCAATCATTTTCTTAAAGAAAAAATAGTTTAACCTCGAAGTTGGAGTTACCATGAACCTGAGAAAGCATCATGGGCCAGCATTTAAGAATGCACTATATTAAGGTATATTTTTATTTAATAGTAAAGCAATACAATCACTTTTTATTTGTTTTGAGAGCCCACATCTTTATATGTTTGTGTTACTTAAGCAAAATTTATCTACATTTAAAGAATCACTGTCACCTGTCACTTTTCTTCAGCTTTTAGCCACCAAGAACTAGAAAAATGCTTCAAAATGAATTTGTCATTAAGAAACCTATGTTCATAACCAGGCACAGTGGCTCATACTGTAATCCTAGCTATTCTGGAGGCAGAGATCAGGAGGATTGCCATTTAAGGCTAGTCCAGGCAAAAGTTAGCAAGGCCTCATCTCAACAAATACCCCATGCATGATGGTGTATGTTTGTCATCCCAGTTACTGAGAGGTCTTAGGTGGGAGGATCAAGGTCTAAGGCTAGCCTCAGACAAAAATACAGGGCCCTACCTGAAAAATTACCACAAAAGCAAAAAAGGGCTGGATATGTGGCTCAAGTAGCAGAGTGCCTGCCTAGCAAGTGCAAGCATGAGGCACCTGAGTTCAAACCCCAGTATTGCCAAAAGAGAAAAAAAATCTACTGCTCATTTATTTATTCATTCTTTTATTCATGATATACATATTAAATGGCTATTATATATTTTTGAGGCACTGGGGTGAATAAAAGAGTTGAAACCTACCATCACAGAAAATATAGTCCTTTTACATCTAAAATTTGGAAATCACAGACCTCAGATGGATTTAGCAACAACTTCCTATATACTTCAGTCCAGAAATCAGAGGTTTTTACTTTCCAGTGATGCAGCATCCTCAGAACATACATGAAAAACCCTCTAAACAGCAGTATACTATTCTACGCCCTGTGTATTCCCTGACTTACAAATAGAAAATGGACTTTCAGGATGTTAGCTTTTTGCAAACTGCCTCCTGATCTGGCATAGAAAGCTGCACTGGACTAGGAAATTGCTAGATCTCATGTGCCTGACAGTTGGTATTTCTACTCCTGCTGACAGTGTCCTGACACAGGGAAACTTCAGTCCCATTTGCATTCATCCTTGTGGAGTACATGCAGTTTGACAGGTTGGGCAGCTGGGTGGCCAGCCCCCTTTTCTACATTCCAGTCTGTAAAAAGGCACCATGAGGTGTGAGAAACCTGTAAAAGGGAATAATAGCCTCTTCTTGGCCCTGAATTTGTAGATATCCAGGATGCCAAGCCACTGAAATCACAGTTTCAGATCTGCTGATTTGATTATAAAGGTATTGGTTATTAAATCAACTCACAGCCTATCAATTCAATTAAGAAGACTTGTTCAATGGTTTTGAATAGACCAAGACTGTATTAAGGCAAGATACATGTTTTTCAGATTAGAGGACAAAGATTTAGAAACATTACTGGCTCTTGAATGGAAAGGCTAGACCTACTTTCTTCCTTGTCCTACCAAGCAATTAGTAAATTATAGGCCACTAGGAATGCAGTTATACATATGCAGGGTAGAAGCATACATACACATTAAAAGAGACCATGCTCTTGGAGGAAAATAAGAGAAGACCATTGAAAACCTAATCACAGACGGTTAAATATATGGAAACTGTAGGCCTTTTGTACACCTTTTTTCCCCTTAGTATTTTCCTTATGTCATTTAAACAAGAAGCAAGAAGTTGAAGTTACATCTTCAACTAAAGAAAAATATTAAGTGTCTGATTATATTATTAAAACCCATCTCAAATTTTTATCACACTGTTATGCTAAATAAAGTCATTCCACTGACACTTCTAGAAACTTTCTAGTTGACCTGGATAGTGTTCTATTTATTCCACATTTACCCAGCAAATTAATATTTTGGAAATAAAGATATGTATACAACCAAATAGCTTAACAATATAAATTCTCAATTAAATTTATACACATTGCATCCATGTAATTATATTTTGAAGGAAAAGAATTTCCTCGCTGATAGCCTTATAACAATAACTGGATCAAGATGCCTCCCGGGGACAATTATGAATGTGTACTGCTTTCATTACTGACAACTAAAGTGTATATTGGAACTGTAACTCATTAGCATTATACTTAAACTTCTTCAGTCAGCTATCTGCTCTTAATAAAACCTTATTCTTAATTCTTCTATTTTGAATTGATAGAAAAATCCAAGTAAGGTAAAGGAGCCAATGTAGAAGAGAAAAAATTACTTTTAAGAGACCAAAAAGCATAAAAGTTGTTAGAGTCTAGCTTTAGCGAGATTCTAAGTCACTGGTTTTGGATCTTCTAATTCTTGCATGGCTGGTTAGTGCACACAGGACCCATTGGATAGGCAGTGCTGAAACAGTGGCAACATGGACACCTTGTTAAGATAAAACTGGCAACTTTACATTTAACCCAGTTGAAAACCCTTTCAAGAATTTTCTTTTATGCGACAATTAGAAATGATGCTTCTCACTGATACACAGAGGAAACAAACTTTGACTATTTTAAGCAAAAATGGAATTTAGGGAAAGGATAGTAGGAGTCATAGGACTAAGAGTAGGTGGGAAGATCAAAATTCTAGAATTAAAAGTTTACATCTATTATGATTATCTTAAGAACAAACAGCCAGCTTTTAAAAATAAACACCAAAGCAATAT